TGCTGGATGCTTAGTAAATTTGTGGTTAAATACATTCTAACAAATTGAAATCTTGACAAAAAGAAAAATACGTCGCCTCTGAATAAAACATGGTTTGTTTATAAATACGAATTAAATTGGACTAGCTTCTGTGGGATTACATGTCATTTTATTATTTACACTTCATTTCTATGGAAAAACAATTCTTTTTTTCCATTTCCTGGTAAATACACAAAACTGATACTGGCTATAATTGAAGAATAATTAAATTGTTTGATTGAGTCCTTTTTTCTTGTCGGATTTGTTTGTTCGAAAAGCTTTCTGTGTTATTTTTGATTTTTGTATAGCTTAGGCCTTGATCCCCCGATGTAAAACAGAAGACACACGCACACACACACACATTGAATTGACTAAAATTCATGTTTACCAATATGGATGTCGGACATTAATGCGACTTAATGCCAGTTTTCCGTTTTGCATTTTTTTTGTTTGTTGTGTTTCGGATTTTATGGTTTCGTTCGTTTCAATTATGGTTGATTCTGTATTTTGTGGACAAAAAGGGCATAGAGAAAGGGGGAATTTGCATTTTTTTCCAATCAACCTCTCTCTCTCTCCTACTCTAATAAAAAACATTAACAACAATTGTTGCTAAATACCAGTTTGGATTTGTTCGTTCTCCTCCCAGACATCTAACCCCCATCTCAGCATTCTGCTAGAGGCATCGAACACCATTGGCCGGCGATTGGAGATTTACCAAGTGCAACTAAGTGAAGTGGCATTAGAGTTAACAAAAACCCTAAATGACAATAGATTTTTATTTGCATGCGAAACTTTAACAAGAGCAGAACTATATCCCCGTGGTATTAGCGGCAGTGATTATGAAATGCAACATTTATGCATAGCCAACGACCCCCTCCTGTTCGTGTTACGTGGCCACTAATAAATAGAGAGATGGCCGCAACAGAACGGCAGGATATAATCGATGCAAATGTTGTTTGTGTTAACCACAAGAGATGGCATCCCGCATTTGGTGTTTTTTTTTTTTTATAAATGATTGGTTGAAAAATAACCAAATACATGTTCAATGTTAAAATTCGTAGCTGTTGTAGTTGTTTGAATGGGGATAAAAGGATTTCACATATAAATGTGGTAGACTGCATGGCTTAGCTTGATATGGACTGTTATTCAGCATAATGATCATGGATATAAATGTATATTGTGGGCTCAAGTTTTAAAGTTTATGGAAGATGAATCAATTATAAAAAATCTCTCATAATATTGAACGTCAGGAACGACAAGGAAAATTTTCGCAAAATAGATAATAGTAAATATTTTGAAATATCTTCATAAATTTCACGAAGAATAATATTAATTATATCAACGCCCAGACGAAACGCCTAAAGGTAGAATCTTGAAATTTTGCACTACAGTCAGCCTTGGTGTATACGCATGAGATAAGGCTGGATTTTTCGAAATTCGTACTAAAAGGGTACTAAAATGTATTAAAATTGAATTCTTTGTATTCGACAAACGGAATGAGCTAGAATTCTGAAAGAGTCACTGATGGAGTGCACGAAATGGAAATTTAAGGTTCAGAAAAGTTCTTAAATGGTACTAAGCATCTAAAATGGTACGATTTGGCATGAGAATCAATGTTGGAAAGTAAGTTTTGGTATATAAAGGTGGTTTTGAAAATGTGTACTCAGTGTGCGGTCTGTACCAAAAGGTACTAAATTTGGAACAGTTTTGTTTAGGGATAAAAAGGTGCTTTTGGAAATGTCTACTACAAGTTCACGAAAAGTACTAAATATTACTATATTTGGTATTGTGTAAACAGATATTGTTTTGAATCTGAAATATGGTGTTAGGGTCGCTGTTGATGTATAGCCTGGACATATAGAGGTAGTTTCGAAAATGAGTACCATCTATAACTGTACGAAAAGTACAAAATGATACTAAATTTAATGTTGAATGAATGGATAGAGATACAATTCGAATTTTTGATATTTAGATAACTGTTAGTATGTGTGGTTGATATTTGGAGGTAGATTTGGACATACTATAGGTATTAGAAAAGTACCAAATGGAATCAAATTTGACATTGGGTGAATGGATATAGCTAAACTCGATTACTCTCGGTTTCTAGGACTTGGCGGTGGCCGCTTTTCATTATGGAACGAAGTTTAAATAGTTTTGGACAGAAAAATTAGATGTGGGTCCATTGTGCAATCGTTCTACTAATGTCCTCTTTTATTCTATTCGATAGTTTATTTATTATATATTCTTTTCAAAAATAAAAAAAAATATATATTAGACCTTTAACGTCTGAAACCTTAATACGAGCATGAGCATTTGACCATCTTTTCTCGTGTACGTAGCAAAAACATTAACCCATATAGTCCAAATTTTCATTAGATCCAATCTTAATACTAATATTACAATATGTGAACAAAATATGAGAGCTGGGCAATAATTTCGCATTTATAACATTTGTGTGTACGAAATAGGGACAAGGATATATCGGGTGAGATGAAAAATCTGCAACCAACTTCAGACTGCTGTCACTTCTAAGCCACTCCTCCGACAACCGTTAAAATTATTCCAGTGGCAGCTAATTATTGTGTTTACAAACGACCAAAGGATTTTGGTGGGAAAGAAAGTTATTCGTGATGGAATTCAAGCGTGATAGTGTGATTTCTTTATATTTGGCTGGAAATCCACAAGGGGCTATCGTTAGAGCACCCCAGCATTCAAATGTGAATAAATCTTTTGTGTCCTGTACCATCACTAGTTACCATGATACTGGTAGCGTAGCCCGACGTCAAGGAAGTGGACGGAAGAAAACAGCAACATCAGCAGAAATGGTTCGAAACAGCAGCATAGGCAAAAATGCTTTTTAGACACTACGCGCCGCAGTGGCTGAAAATGGCTCTTGAGCTGAACATATCGCAGTATTCCAATCAGCAAATATTGAAACATGAGCTCGGGGTAAAGCCATTGAAATTCCAAAAAACGCAAGAACTTACACAGCAACAGAAGGAAAATTGACTCAAAACAGCTAAAGAGTTGCTTCGCTTGGCCGAAAGTGGTGAACTGCCGAATTTGGTTTTCTCCGATGAGATAACATTCGTTGTCCAGCAGTTTGTAAACAAACAAAATGATAATGTTTACTTGCCAAAGAGGTCAGCTGAAAATATGCACGTTCGGTTGGCCACCAGAACTCAAGCGCCGGCCATGTTAATGGTGTGGGCCGCCGTAACAGCCGCTGGACACTCTCCGCTCGTATTAATCGACCGTGGCATAAGAATAAATGCCGCATATTATCGCGAAAATATTCTGAAGAGTGTATTAAAGCCTTCGGCACGCAAACATTTTGGCCGCAGACCTTGGACATTCTAACATGACTCAGCACCATCGCACTCAGCATGCGCCACCCAAAAATGGTTACAAAATGAGGTTTCTCGCTTCAGTACCACCGCACAATGGCCACCAGTATCTCTGGATACCAATCCGTTGGACTATTGTGTCTGGAGTATTTTGGAAAGGAAGATTGGCACTAAAAAATACTAAAGTGTCGATCACCTCAAGCAAGCGCTTCGCCGGGAATGGAATGAGCAACATTCGGCAGCGTGTGATGGTTTCATTGGTCATTTGAAGGCCATAGTTCGTGCCAAGGTGACAAATTCAAACAAATCTAAACTCACTCTAAGATTTGATGATATTTCTGACATTTTTTGCTTTCATTCAATAAAATTAAAAAAAATTTAAAAATCATAGCGTTTGACTTTGTTACAGCTATTTTTATCTCATCCTGTAGTAGGCCCCGTCCTAGCTGGTTTTTTTTATTTTTTATCATATGAAACTTTTATCATATTTGGTATACAATATTGCATTTTACATTTTGTAGTATTTTCTCCCCTTACAATACTATGTACAATGGGCATAATATGCAGGTGGCAATTATCTTCCGATCCTCACGGAATTCTGCATGGGGGTAGGGTCCGAATTGTAGATTTTTGTTTGTGAAGATGTATATTTATACGTTCAGTTGGACCAACAAATTAAAATGTTACTGATTTTGTAGTCGCTCTACAGGTCGCAATTAAAATCCAATCGACACTGAATTTTGGTCGACTAATTTTTATACCCTCCACCATACTATGGAGGGTATATTAAATTTGTCATTCCGTTTGTAACTACTCATATCAGACCCAAGAAAGTATATATATTCTTGATCAGCGTAAAATTCTAAGTCGATTTAGCGATGTCCGTCTGTCTGTCTGTCTGTTGTAATCACGCTACCTTTCAAATGAATTGAGGTAGCTGGCTAAAATTTTGCACACAGGTTCCAGTAGGCAGGTTAAGTTCGTAAATGGGCCATGTAGGTCCACGTTTTCATATAGCCCCCATATAACGGTACCTCCCTATATTCGGTATTTTGATGATTTTGGCGACATTATTCACGGGAATTGTTTCAAATTTGGCATTTGAAGTTCAAAATGGATACGACACCCTAAGACGGAAAATTGTCTGTTCAGGTCCACGTCTTCATATAGCCCCCATATACCAGTACCTCCCAATATTCGGTATTTTGACGAGTTTAGGTACAATACCCACCGAAATTGTTTGAGATGTGGTATTTGAAGTTCGTAATGGATGCTACAGCCTGTGGCAGAAAATAGTCTATGCTGGTCCAGGTCTTCGCACAGCTTCAATTTAACGGCACCTCCGATATACGATATTTTGATGATTTCAGCTACATTATTCACTGTTTATTTCAAGTTTCGAATTTGAATATGGTAATGGCTTATGAAAAACAATGCCTATATATTACCACGTCGTATAGACCCCAATATAACGGCTATATTCGGTATTTTTTAAATTTTAACAGAATTTTTTAAGGATTTTATTTTTTAAAAATGTCCAAATTCGTTGCAAATGGTGAAGGGTATAAAAAGTTCGGCGCGGCCGAACCTAGTGCTTTTTAACTTGTTTTGTGTGAAATTGTTATGAATACCTACCAACAAAACAGAGAGTGTAAATATATGGCAAATATCCGCGTTCGAAATCCAAAGGGAACATTTGTGCAGGACTGTATGGCATAATTTCAAAAAAATACTAAAATAAAATTATAATAATAAGAATATAACATTACTTACCGTTGTTTACTGGTGGTGAGATCAGATTTTCGAGATTCCTGAAAATATAAAAAGGCATTAAAAACGAAAAACAGGAGTTCCAATTACTTACAATTTCTATGTGGAAAAAAGAAATCGCTAAACCAAAAACCTTACACTTTCGATTCGAAATTTCTTATATAACTACCAAAACCGGTTCAATTAAAACCTATTTATATCGGCAATATACTCGCTGAGTATCACTCTTAACACTTTGATCAGCATTTTATACTTTGTACTCTGCATAAGTATATGTCTGTCAGCAAAACCGATGAGTTCTTTCTTGCCTATTTACCTTATCAATAATCGTCAAATCGGAAAAAACAAAACAAATCTTAAATTGCCAACTCTTTACTTTTCCAACATCATATCATCGGTCGTTTGGTACACACACCAAACGCTCTAAACCCTCTTGTTATTATAAATATTTTCTCTTCGATGCTCCACATTAGAATGCATTCGCATCAATCAGTGTACATTGTATACAAAACCATTCATTCATTCGATTGTCCCAGCGTCGCTGCTATGCGTTCTTTTTTTTTTTGTTCTGTCATTTCTGTATTGGGATTTTTTCCTCCATTTTTTTCTATTTCGCTTTTGTTTTTTCAATTATATGCCTATATGTAGGCATGCATGCAGGCAAGTATATCTGCATACAAAGACTATTCCATCATTTCATATATAGGCAGAGACAGAGAGAAAAAAGCCACAGTTCAATTGTTGTGTCAACAATTTCAATTTTTGCTGAATAGTATGTCAATATGCATGAAGGCGGGCGGTATGCCTTCAAAGTTATGCAGGTTGGCTAACAGCAGCCTATGGAGGAGTGCACCGCACAAGAGGGCAGAGGATGAGCAGTAGAACAACAAAAAATCCAATCAGAATTCCGGCACATGCATCAGTAAATTTTTGATGTACAGTACAATTATTAAAGTCAATCAATAACAAAAGAGAGGGGGTAGTGGGTGGTGGCCGTTTGGGTGTTGGGGTTAGTGCACAGCAGGAGACGTTATTGTTTCTATTCGATGACAATAGTGATGAATTTTATGTGAAGGAGGTTTGTATGATAAATGACGGTTGGTTTGGTCGGTTAAAATAAAATTTAAATGAATGTGATAGACTTCATTTTAGCTAGAGGTACGTTTTTACATTTTTTTTTTTTTTTTTTTTTTTTGAAAATTCGAAATCGAATAAATATAGAAAATCAAAACCAATGGTTTTACACAGAGAAACTTATTATTTTTATACCCTACACCACAAGGTGTCAGGGTATTATGTCTTTGTGCATTTGTTTGTAACAGGCAAAAGGAAACGAGATAGACCCATAGTTCCTTTTGATGATCTGCATAGAAACACTTTCTGAGTTGATTTATGCATGTCAGTCCGTCTGTCCATGTATTCTTGTGAACAAAATGCAGGTCGCATTTATTATCCGATTGAGATGAAATTTTGCAAACGACATTTGTTTGGCCCATGGACGAACCCTATTGAAATTGGAGATAATCGGTCAAAATTTAGATATAGGTCCCATATATATCTTCGTTCAATTTGCCTTTTATTGTGCACCAAACGTCAAATATCAGCCCGAATAGTATGGAATTTTGCACATTCAACCAAATTAGGCATGAAAATAAGTGTGCCAAATTTGATCGAAGTCGGTTCAGATATAGCTATAGCTCCCATATATATTGTTTATCCGATTTGTTAATTTTGTCCACCGCCGCCGTAATATGCACTCTGCAACAACAATATTTGGGGAAATATGTCAAATGCAGCTCAGAAATACATTTGCTAAATTTTATCGAGATCGGTTCAGATTTGGATATAGCTCCCATATATAACTTCGTCCGATTTACCATTTATTGTGCACCAAACGTCTAATATTTGTTCAAATGGGATGGAATTTGGCACATACGACCGAATTTAGTCTAGAAGGTAGTATGCCAAATTTGGTGAAGATCGGTTCAGATATAGTTATAGCTCCCATATATATTGTTCATCCGATTTATTGTATTTGTTACCCACAGCCGTAATATGCACTCCGTAACAACGATATTCAGGGAAATAAATCAAATACAGCTCAGAAATATCATTGCCAAATTTTATCGAGATCGGTTCAGATTTGGATATATCTCCCATATATATCTTAATTTGATTTTTGGTGCACCAAATGGGCAATACAAGTCCGAATTTAAAAGATACAAATGCTTCGGCATATTTATTACTTTGAATTTTAAATTATACTTATAATCATACCGTGTATGATTGAATTCTCCCATAAAAACTTTTAATTGTTATGCGGAGCTCTATTAAATTAGGAAAGTGGTGTAGGGTATCATAAAGTCGGCCCGCCCGACTTTAAGGCTTTCTTTACAGGTTTATAATTGGTTATTCATCTTTTACATTTGTTCTAAGGAAATGTGTACGTAGCAGTATGTGTCACCTTTCACAATTAAATTGCTATTTATTGGAGAATTGTTAATGCACAAACAGGTTCCCACGGACATAATTCCCATTACAATTATGGGGACCGTTATGACCGTTTTTTCGATCATAGATCCCATAATGGAATACGGATTTAATCCCCATAATAATGGGGACTACAAAGTTGATATGTAAATTAAAGCTTATGGCAATAACTATCCAATTAGCGGTCATATTATGGGGTTCTTTCAACCCGTTCAGGAGAAATACAAAAAATTGCTATTTTTCGGAAACGTTTAAGGATCTACAATGAGATAATATCTTCATACTACATTAGAGTCAATACTCTTGCCTTTCCAAAATGGTGCCAAATATGCTGATATCTCTTGTAGTTGCGAAGATATTAGTGATAACAAGTCAAAAAACAGCTAAGTTCGGCCGAGCCGGGCCGTTTGGAAGGAACTTGAGAATTTTCAAAAAAAAAAAAAATCCGGAAATTACCACTTTAATGAAATCTGTTATATACAGACTGAACGTAGACGTGGACCTGCTTATGAATTTTATTGTCATAGGCTGTAATACCTATTACGAACTTCAAATACCAAATTTAAAACAATTTCGGTGAATAATGTCGCTAAAATCATCAAAATTCCGAATATCGGGAGGTCCCATTATATGAGAGCTATACGTGGACGTGAACCTGCACAGACAATTTTCTATCTACTACAGCCTATAGTATCCATTGCGAACTTTAAATACCAAATTTGAAACAATTTCGGTGAATAATGTCGCTAAAATCATGAAAATACCGTAAATAGGAAGGTACCATTGTATGAGGGCTATACAAAAACTTGGATCTACATGGTCCATTTTCAATACCAAAAGTCCTGCAGACATAATATACATTTGAGTAAAATTTTACCAACCTACTTCATTTCGTTCGGAAGCTGGAATAATTTCCACAGAGGGAAAGACGGACGGACATCGATAAATCGACATAGAATTTTATGCTTATCAAGGATATATACACTTTGTGGGGTCTAAAATGTATATTTCGATGTGCTACAAACGGAATGATAAACTTAATATACCATCCATACTATGGTGGAGAGTATACAAATGGTGAAATTGAGATTTTCTCCACTAATATTTATCAAAACTTTATAGTTTTTTTTAAGTAGCCCCCATCTGCCGGGGCTTGAGATTTTCCAGCACTGGCTACGCCATCCATACTTATTACAATCAATCAATACGAGCATAGTCCCCTGCTTCTTTATGCAGCAAACGGTCATACTCCCCGTTTTGAAAGCGGACATAGTACCCACTTTATTATAGTGGTTACGATCAAAAATATACCAGATATAATCCCGAAACAGAAAGGACTTTAAACTTCATATCTCGAGGAATACAGAGAAGCTGTAAAATGTAGTAAAATCAAATTGATTGGGTTTCGCCATGTTATTGGTATTCGCCATGTTATATCCGGAAATGAAGATGCACTATTAAAATTTCGCTCGGAAAAATCTGTTAAAATCTTTAAAATGGGAAAATCAGAAGGAACTGAAGCTAAGGGTCAGTCTGGGTGCATAGAAGTGTGTGTGGTTTTTTGAAAATTCGTAATACAAGGATAAGAAAGGTAGTAAAATCGAATACCTTGTATTGGGCAAACGGAGTGAGCTACAACACAAAAATTTGCAATAAGAATCACTGATGGAGTGCAGAATAGATGTACTAAGGGGTTTTTGGAAATTCGAACTTCAAAGCTGATGAAATGCTCTAAAATTTTACAAAATTGGAATGAGCTAGAATAAAAAAAAATTACAATGAGAGTCACGGATGGAGTGCAGGATAGATGAACTAAGGTTTTTGGAAATTCGAATTTCGAATCTGAGGAAAAGCTCTAAAATGTTACTAAACGTTTAGAATGGTACAATTTTCTATTATGGATACAGCTAAAAACAAGGTTGGAAAGTAAGTTTGCTAGTGGTGGTTGAGGGCGGTTTTGGAAAGTACTATATTTGGAAAGTACTATATTTGGTATTGGTTGAAGGGGATAGAACAGAAATCCTGAAATTTGATATGGATGTCACTGTTCGCATCACTGGTTAAGATATGGAGGTTCTTTTGAAAATGTATCTTATGTTAGTACTAAATGGTATTAATTTTGGTATAGGGTGAAGCTGAAGCTGGATTCTTCGAATTTGATATCGCGGTCTCTGTTGGCATCTGGAATTTGGATATGGAGTTTTGGAAATGTGTACCACAATTGTTCCAAACGTTCTAAATAGTACTTAATTTGGTATTGTGAAAAAATATATTTGTGTCTAATGTTGTGAAATACGGAACGGGTTTTCAAAAGTGAACAACAATCATACGAAAAGTACTAAATGTTGCTAAATTTGGTATTGAGTGAAAGTATGAGTCCGGAATCCTGAAATTTGATAGAGATGTCAGTGTTTGTTGTATGTGGTTAAGACATGGAGGTGGTTGTGCCCAATCGCACTATAATTGTTAAAAAATTACTAAATAGTACTAATTTTGAATCACATGACATGATTAATAAAAGTTACTTTATTTGGTATTGGGTGAAAGGATA